GTTAATAGGATCTTATTTAATAAGTTCCTTAGCTTCCTCTAATACTATTAAGTATATTATAAGGTTTAATACTATAGGGCACTCCTTTTATATATACTATTATAAGTTATTAAGAAAGGCTTATTCTTATAATATACTCTTAAGGTTTAATATAAAGATAGCTTATAATCTTTTAAGTATTAAAGTAATAAAAGCTATAAGTATTAAAGCTATAGCAAACTAGTTTTCTTTAGTAGTTACCCTCTTAGTTTATAAAAACTTAACTATATTAATCTACTAAAATTTATTAAGCTTAGATTATAATAAGATTTCTTTAGCGCTTAATAATATAGCCTTATTTATAATAATAGAAAGCAGAATATATTATTCCCTTAGATTTAAACGTATTTCTTTATTAAAAATAATATACTTAGCATGCTCTATAACCCCTATTATAAAATTCTAAAGTTTATAAATATTTTTAACTTTATAGCTAACTAAAATATAGGGTTTTATCTAGCTTTTAAGCTTTTTTAGATAAAAAGCTTTTAGGATTAACTTATAAGCTTTATAACTAAAGTATCTAAAATACTAAACATATAGCTTTTATCCTATCTAAGCTTTATAAGGAGATATTTAGCAATTAAACGCTAAGTATAAGAAGCAAGCTTCTATAAATACTATAATAAGAAGTATCTCTCCCTAAAGCTTACTAAGAAGTATAACTTCTAATATAATAGCTCTAACTTAGCCTTAAATTATTCTATAGAGGTATTTAACTATAGTATTCTATTCTACTTAATATAATATAATAAACTTAAGTTAAATACCTTTTTACCTATAATAAGTAATAAGTATACTATTTTTAAACTCTCCTCTATTATTTAATTAAATAAACTAAATATATAATCTAATTTCTATCTTAACTTTAATAATATCTTATTATAAAGCTTATAACTTAAGCTTTATTCTAAAGTAAATAAGCTCTAAATATCTTTATAAGGTTATTAACTATTAGTAAGTAATAGCATTCTCCTATAAGTATAAATAGTAATATAAGATTATTAAGGTTTATAAATTAGTGCTATCCTCTCTAAATTACTTAAAATACTAAAGTAGATTTTATTTATATTACTACTTTACCTTATATATAAGCTTTATAGATAAATTCTTTATTATTATTTAGTAGTTATATATTAAAGTCTTTAGCTAACTTCTTATAAATAATAAAATTAAGATAACTTATTTGGTTATAAAAAATATTAAATAAGACCTCTTATTAAAAGTTAGAGGTAAAGTAAGCAGCTATAGTAATCTCTAAGTCCTTCTAATATTATATTATAAAAATAAGAGAGTAATTAAGGTACCTAAAGTAGCTATATATAATACTTTAAAAGATAAAGATAAGTTCTAAATATTCTAATATAATAATAATATATCTTATGCTATATATAGTTTAGAAGTATTTAATACTTAAGTATTTAGTAAAAATACTTATTAATAGAAGGTTTAGTAATAAGAAAAGTATATAGAGGATATTATAAAAGTAAATAAGTTTAATACTAATAATATATTATAAAATAATAAAGATTATACCTTAGCCTAAAGTATAAGTATCCTACTTAACTTTATTTATATATATATAATAAGAACTCTTAATAAGAACTAAAGAGGTATAGTTAAGAAGTAATATAGTATTTAGTACTACTATTTAAGAACTAAGTTTAATAGTAACTATCTTATAATATTAGCTTAATCTAAATCTAAACTTAGGAGATATCTAGAGGGGTAGGTGCTTAAAAATTAAGCTAAGGATTAAGAATAAAAAAGGCTTTAGGAAAGCTTACTAGCTAGTTAAAGCTAGCTATAATAGTATTACGTTAAGGATTTACTTAATAAGTTTAACTTTATAAGCTAGTACTAACTAATAAGCTATAAGTAGTTATAGCCTATTAGTTAGTTCTAAGTGTTATACCTTATAACTAGAGTTATTATAATTTAATATATTTTCCTATTAGCTATAAATAAAGTATACTTTTTAATATAGTCTTCTATAGTTTACTAACTTAGTTTTAATTTATTTTTACTTTTTTATAGGTCTTATAGCTTACTAATAAGCTTATTTATAACTTATATTAGGTCTAAAGAAATATATACTAATATCTAAGATATATTATTCTACTTAGAGGTATATTTATTTATTCTATACCTTTATAATAATCTTATTAAGTATAAGCTTTTTACTTTTACTTATACTAATAATTATATAATTTTAATAAATATTAGCTTTAAAAAAGCTAAATTATTTATTTAGGTTAGAGAGATATTAGATTTAATAAAGCTTATTTAGAAGAGACTAGAGGAGTTCTATCTATCTTAGTTTATTAAGATTATAAAGAAATTTCTCTAAATAGCTCTAAATATCTATATATTATAATAAGTTATCCTAAATAAGTTTAGATATTATTTCTCTTAGTATACTAATATTATAATAAATATATTTAGTTTATAGTACTTTATAAGTAGCTAGTATACTAATATAATATTAGATTTTTTTAACTATAAGATTAGATAGGTTTTATTTAATCCTTACTAGTAAGTTATTATTAATAGCTTTTTAGTAAAGTTTATTCTAAATATATTTATTCTATACTTTAGTAGTATAAATATCTTTATTTAAACGCTTTAGTTCTAAGATATTTTTAGTAAAAATGTTATTCTTCTTAGTTAATATAGCATTCTTTAGTGCTTTATCCTAATTAGCTTAGTTTTTAGTATTTTTAAGTTATAGAATCTTAACATTATAGTTAGATTTACTACTATAGATATAAACTAGTTTTAATTAAGTATCTAAGTTTTATTCTTTAAGAAATTCTTCTTTAAATTAATAGGTTTAGATAAGCTAAAAGATAATATATATAATTAGTTATATATTTATTATATAGTAGTAGCTTAATTAGTAGGTAGTATCTTTAGAAGATAATATCTTAAGAGAAAGAAGTATTTATAATAAGTAACTAAAAGAAAGAAGTTAAAAGTAACTATAGTAATTAAAGAATTATAGAGGCCCTAAAAGCTTTATAAGGAAAGGTATTATAAGTAACTAATAGTATTAGATTAATATTATAATAATAATACTATTAAGTACTATAAATATAGAGTAAGTATTATAAGAGATTTAGTTATAATTATATTATTAGTTTAATTATATCTTACTTTTTACTTCTTTTAGACTTTAGAGGACTTTTAAGCTTTAACTTAATATATTAAATAGATATTTTTCTATAAGTAATTCTTTATATAATCTTTTAACTTCCCTCTTCTTAATAAGTACTTTATTAACTTAATAGCTATTAGTATTATAGTTTTAGTATAATAGTATATATAATAACTCTTTAGAGGGTTCTATCTTTAAAGCTATATTAAGGAATAGTATTTCTTCTTCTAAGAAACTAAATATAGTATTCTTATCTATATAGTCCTTAATAGATTTAGGAGTTATCTAAATATCTTTAAGGGATTAAGATATTATAGAAGTTATTATTAAAGTATATTAATATATTAGATAGAAAGTAGATAGAGAATAAAGTAATAAAAAGAAAGAATAGTATATTAGTTTAGAAATATTAGATTACTAGAAGAGAATTTTTTATTATAGAATATATAGCTCCTAAAATAAGTATATTATACTTAAGTATTATATAAATAATAATTACTTTATCCTTAGAAGTAAAAGACCTCTAGGGTACTAATCTCTAAAGCTATAAGCCCTAAATAACTAATAAAATATTATAAGTATATAAAACTTTACTCTTTATAGTTATACCTAAATAACTATAGGTTATAATAAAAGAAAATAGAGGAGTTTTATATTTATATTCCTTTAGGGGTAATTAGACTTCTAACTTCCCTATTAGAACTAATATATTAAGTTAGATACTATAACTTATTACTACCCCCTTATTTTAGGTCTAAAGATAGTTAATAATACCTAAAAAACTCTATTAATATCTCTAGTAATCTTATTATAGTTAATTATAGACTTAATTAATACTTTTTAGTAGTTTTACTATAAAGTACTTACTTATTAATACTATATAAAACTTATTACTAAGCTATACTTTTCTTTTAGGTATATAAGTATATAATAAAGAGTTTATTTTATACTAAGTAAATAGAAAGAAAAGGAGATAACTAGTATAATAGTTATAGTTTTAAACTATATATAAGCTCCTATAGTTTATTATAAGTAGTAATAGTTTTAAGCTATATATAAGCCTTTCTAAGTAGTTTAGAGCTATATATAAGCTTCTATAGTCTACTATAGAGGTAGATAGTTTAAAGCTATATATAGGTATATCTAAAGTAGTTTAGAGCTATATATAGGCTATAATATATTTAAAGTATTAACTTTAGTAGAAAATTAAGGACCTTATTAGAAAACTTAGCGTTATATATTTAAAGTAAGGATATACTAATAAGTATAATTCTATAGTTAGTCTTTAGAAGTAGTACTTCTAGGCTTATAACCTATTAGATTCACTTATAGTAGTACCTCTAACTATAAGTATAAATTATAGTATTAAGAAGAGAGTACTTAGCTAGTTAGCTGTTATTATACCTAAATACTTGCTTATTGCTGACATAAGTCAACAGTGTAGGTTGACATTTTCCTCGGCTGTGGTATTATTAGATTAAACAATTTGAACGTGGGTTATTCGTGTGCACCCGTAACTAATTCCGCGTCGAATACAACCGTAGCCTCGCTTATTTCCCCTGTTCCACCATAAAGGGACAACGCTTGCAAATTACAACACCCTTAAAAAGCCTCGCAGATTACTTATTACTTATGGAGTGATCGGTTCGCATAGTTGATATGTTCGATTGGAGTCCGAGTATCAAATAGGGAACCTGTTTTTCCCTTGTGCTCTGCTGGTGGCCAACGCCTCAGCCACAGAAAACCGGGTCTGCTGGAAACCCGCACGGTGGACTCCGTTGAGATTCTTCACCATCGTAATCTGTCAACGACCCATGGTTCCTTGCCGGAATAAGATGGTCGCCATCGCAAGGAAGTATTCCCAGATCTAAGTTAATGAGCATACTTCGTTGTAGGCAACGTGGGGTGATTCTTGTGGGAGACTTACCCGGTATGACTTTTCACCGTACTTGGCTGTGATCTTGTCACGATTGCCCGTCCAATTCTTGTACCACCTCCATAAGGTGGCTGAATAATGCTGCCCGATGTTGTCGAGGCTGTTGTGTGTAAGTACACCTTTTGGCCAAATGAACAAGATGATATCAGAAAGTCGTACCTTTGAATCTCAAATCCGGCCTCCTCGAGAGAAGTCACGTACTTCCCCAAGTCCCATCCCATCGTCATCCAAGGAATGACATGCCTCTTCAAGAACAACACCCATACCAAATCCTCGTATTGCCACGCACGTCTCGACGCGGTGATCTCGACATGAAACATCCCATCATCCGCGAGCATCTCATAGCAGCGCTCAAAGAACCCGGCCACTTTCAAATCCTCCTGCCCAGATGACTGCAGACATACAATCTTGTCATACTTTTCGTCGGGACCCTCATACACCCGATTGCATATGCGGCTTTGGGTTTCGGGTATCTCTGCTGATTGGAGGCGCCAGTTTCCCAAATCAGCTTGATACGGGTCAATTGTAAGCCCAGTCGCGAGGGCACCGTAATTGACGCTGGCGAAGGTTACGAGGGAACCCCATCCGCAACCGATGTCGAGAAGCCGGTCTCCTGGTTGTAGGTTGATCTTTTCACAGACCGTAGCAAGCTTGTTGTCTTGCAGCTCCTCGAGCGTTTCCTCGATGTTCATGTCCGATATGATGCCTGAGGTGTAAGCCAATCGTGGACCAAGGAACCAAGAGTAAAAATCGCTACCGCGCTGATCTTCTACCAGTTGTCTTTCTCCTAAAGCCCTAGTTAGCCAGTGCTCTCGTGTTCATGGTCTTTGCACGCTATTACGCAACTTACGTGTAAATAGGTAGGACGAGATCACTTCAGGGAGCCACGTCAACACCACGAACCTCGTCATCTCCCTCGTGAACCTCCAACTCGCCCAGTCATACCTCCACTCCAGGACCTCAAGTGCATCACCATTGAAATCCACCTCACCGTCAAAATACATCTTTGTGAAAGTGCCCATCGGTATCTTATGCCTGCCCCAGTATCTGTCTCGGTCGTGCTCATTCTTGAAGGTGATGTATTCTTCGACCGGCCGACCGGGGTTCTGAACTTTCTCGTTGATCGGAGGCGAGATGCACGATGCAACATACCAGAATGCAGCGACAACGGGCACTAAGAGGGTAAATAGAGCGACTGCCAAGGTGTTGTATCCTCCACATAGTTTCCATGTCGCGAAGGCGGGGACGAAAGCGAGGAGGAGCACGAGGTGCTTGATGGAAAAGGTATCGCGACCTGCGCCATCTACTGGCAGTGCTGCGTGCTTGACCGCGGGATACTGGTGGGATCTCCGTGTTAGACTGGATTCAAAAGAAGCTCATAGATGCACGACTCGCCAACGTCCTTGTAGTGCTGAAATCCAAATCCTTGGGGTGGCCGCTCGCCGACGCCGGCGGCGTCGGTACTAGTACATGGTCATCCATCTCTGGCGGATGCTATCACATCGAGCGATGAAGTTTATGTCTGGAGTCAGCTAAGGTGCTCGAAGGTTGTAGGTTTTAGAAGACGGAATTGCGTGTCTACCGGCATCCATGGCCATTTTGATGACGCCAGCGCGGAGTGAGCAGATCGGCAGCTTGGGCAGCTTGTGATGCGACCTGATAAGGCCTGGGTCACGACAAATCAGGTGAGCGGAATCGTCTATTGGTGCGAGTTGTCAGCTCGGGATTGGGGTAATGTCGAATGTACGTGGTCTGACCATTCTCTGCCGCGTATGCTTGGTGTTTACTTGACTGCCGTTGCAGCTTTGGCCAACCGAGGTACTCCAACATGGAGGCCCAATATGCCTAACCTGTATTAATCCATGGACATCTTTATCTTTACCGAATATGGCGTTTTGGTCTACAGTAATTTCAAATGATGAATTTAGAAATTGCAACAAAGTTTGTATTGGCCAGCAGCAGGCTCCTCTGACTGTTCTGACAATTCCTGATCATTGCTACCGAACTCCGAACGCCATAAACCACGAATAATTATTCCACCACAATCTTTGACACAATTTTCTCGCAGAACGACAACAAAGAGGACGCGTTCATGATGTCGACTGTGGTAACAAGGGCCCCCAACTCGTTGCGTACCCAGTTGCGGACCTCCACCGCGGCCAGTGAATCAATGCCGTACACCGAAAGGGGTCGGGCGGGGTCCATCGGCTCCGAGAGCCGGAGCATGCGAACGAAGCACTTGTTCACGACATCCACTGAAGAGAAACATCGGATTAGTACACGTATATAAAACCAAGGCAGACAAGAAAAGAAGGACGGGGTTGCATACCTGTCGCTGTAATCTGTGCCGAAGTCTCAGCAGACTTCGATTTCAGTAGAAGCAGCAGCGCCTGCACATCCGCGTTGGCACTGTTACCACCCTCGCCAGCCGCCCTGCCTCCAGCCGACCCGGTTCGCAGCGCCGCAAACCGGGCGTCCTGCAAGAGCGCCGAGTCAGCGGGCTGCGGCGCAACGATGCCCGTAACCATTTGCGTGGCCGACGGCGAACCCGGAAACCTGCCAGCCTGCTGCAGGATCGAGAAGTAGAGAATCTGCCGAAGAAGGCCGTTGTTGATGCCCTTAAAGGTCCGGCTGTCAAAGTGCTTCTCCTGGAAGCCGTCGTTGTTGGCGATGAAACCGTCATCCTCGATGACGCCCAGGTCAATGGAGCACGCGGCTTGCCCGCGCTGACGGCGGTAGGCGGCGAAGGAGTCCAGGAAGACGTTGGCGGCGGCATAATTAGCCTGTCCACGCTGCCCGATGACGCCGGAGATGCTGGAGAGCATGGTGAAAAAGTCGAGTTGGAGGCTAAGCTTCTCCGCTGCGTCGTGGAGGTTCCATGTGCCTTGGATCTTGCAGCCGACGGCTTGGTGGTATTCTTCCAGTGTCATGGAGTCAAAGGGTCGGTCCTAGTGGAGTAGGATGTTAGAAACAAGTGCAGTCATTGTCTGCGAGGAAAACACTTACCCGCAGGACCATTGCACCCTGAATGATGCCGCCAACTGGGAAGGACGTCTGGTTGAATGCCCGCTGGACGTCGCCCTTGCTGGTCACATCGGCTGTCAGGAGATCGATGCTCGATCCAAGGGCCTTGACCTGCTTGACGATAGAACGGGACTTCTCGTCTGTGTGCCCACTTCTGGAGATAACCGCCAAGTGCTTCGCACCACTCTTGGCAAGATAGATGGCCAGCGCACCGCAGAGACCGCGGAGGCCGCCTACAATGAGATAAGTGGCATCGTCGCGGAAGTGGAGAGTCTTCGGGGCGCGCCGGACCTGTTACAAATCAGTGTAAGTTTCTGTACGATGTTGTTTCTGTTTTTAGACGGATGGCAACCTACGGGAACAGAAATCTTCGGCTCGGGACCGTCTGAAATGACGACCTTGCCGATGTGCTTGCCCGCGCGCAGATAGCGAACCGCGTTGGCGACATCGGTGAAGGAGAAGATATGGATGGGATTGATTGGCTTGACGTGGCGTCCCTCGAGGAGTTCAAAGAGCTTGGTCATGAGACTTAAAATAACAGAAAGCAGTCAGTATATCTGCGAAATGATGGCGCAGTAAGAGAAAGAGAAGCTTACCGGGCTATGAGATGATCAGGAGCTCTCTGGTGAGACATATCGACGGCTCTCAGGGAGATGTTGCGGTCGAATGGCTCCATGGCAAGGCTGTTGCGATCCAAGATATCTTTCTTACCAATCTCGACCATAATACCTCCGTCGGCGAGCACGCGGAACGACTCATCCAGCATGTCACCGGTGAGAGAGTTGAGAATGATATCGACTCCTCTGCCACCAGTCGCAGCCAAGATTTGGTCACCAAAGGTTGTGTCGCGGGAGTTGAAGATGTGGTCGTCCTCTAGACCGAAAGTGGACTTGATGAATTCTCTCTTGTCAGGAGAACCAACAGTCGCAAAGACCTGGTGGAGGGCAAGTGTCAGTGAGTGCCCCCGGAGTAGAAAGCCGTATCACAAGAAGGAATTGCTGCAACTTACCTCCGCGCCAGCATACTGAGCCAGCTGCATAGATGAGATGCCGACACCACCCGCCGCGGAGTGAATCAGTACGGTCTTACCGGCCTTCACATCAGCCATATCGAACAATGAGTAGATGGAAGTCAAGTAAACACCACACAGAGTGGCAGCCTCCTCGAAAGACATCCAGTCAGGGAGGGCATGCACTCGTCCAGGCCGGGTACGGACGCGGTTTGAAATGGTCGCCGGGGTGAAGACCACAACACGTTGGCCAACCGTGAGAGAGGTGACACTTGGTGAAACCTTCGTCACGATGCCAGCCGCCTCGCCGCCCAGTTCGCGCTCGTCACCAGGAACGATGCCCATGGTTACAACGACGTCCTTATAATTCAGACCAGCGGCGTAAACCTCGACCTCGACGTAGCCGTCCTCAAGTGGCTGAGGCTCCGCCGTCACCTCGTGGTAATGGATGGAATCCATGTCACCCAGACGCTCCGCACCCATGTTGATGATGGTCTCGCTGGCGTGAATGTCCAGCACCTCGGTTTTGCGGTCGCTGGGGTGATGACCCTGAAGCCTGGTGATCTCCCAGTCCGGCAGCAGACGGCTGACACGAACGACTCCGCCGCGCTCGACGAACTCGCTTTCGAGCTGGTCTTTGGGGTCAGGCTGGGAGAGAACGTCGAGGCAGGAGACGATGGCGGCGCCGGTGGCATCTCCGGCAGGACTCTCGACATCCAGGTTGACGAGGCGGGCGCCCTCTTCGGCGCGGACGGTACGGAAGAATCCGTTGACGGCCGCAGAGTTGGGGTTTGTGACGTCTAAATGAGCGCCAGAAGTAACCCAGAGAATTCTGCATTGCTTCTGGACGAGACTCTTCAGAGTGTCCCACTGCTTGGCATCTGGGTTGATCATGATGGGCGACACCAGCTCGTCAAGAACAAGAACGATCTGGTCTGCGGTGACGGCAGAAGAACCAGCGAGCTTCTGGACATTCCAACCACTTTGGATGATGTGTCCCAGAATCTTGCTGGACGCCTCATGGACGGAGCCGGTGAGGCTGATGAAGCTGACAGTCGGCAAGGCCACCTCCTGTGCCTTCTCGGCGCTTTGCACATGGACAATCGAAGTATCATCATCGAGGGCTTGAGCACTGCCCAGCGAGCTGAGTGAGAAGACCTGGCCGACACTGATCACAATACTACCGGCCTGTACCGACTGGGAGATGCTCGCCAGAGCCCGATCTCGCGTCGTTGCATCGATACGGTCCGAAGCCTTGACGATGACGAGGTCAAACTTGACGTCTGGCACGATAGCAGCGGAGCTATTCACATCGAGCAAACCAAACTGAGCGGACGGGGCGTGGGTCGAAAGCTGACCCTGGGCGCTGATCAGCGTCGCGGGATCGCTCACAGCAAAGTTGTACTGAGATGCGGCGGCGCGGATGGGGTTAGACTCTTCTTGAACCCACAGGCTTGACGCGTCCGTTGAGCTCAGATTAACCTCCAAAACCTTGAGCGTTGGCTTCTTGTGGGCGACAAGGTCAATCAAGTCCTGCGTCGTCTTGTCATTGTCCCTCAAGAACTGCCGCAGCTTGGGCTCCGGTGCGGACAGTAGCAGGGGGAGGTCGGCTTCCCACGCCAGGTGGGTGAAGAGGTGCTTGGCGCCCTCCTCCTCGCTGGTCTCGATGTCGCGCGTGGTCAACCCCTTCATCTCGAAGATGAGCGACCCGTCCTTGGGGTCGTATAGAGACAGGTCGGAGCCGTAGTTGCGGTGGAGATCCTCCCGTCCAATGCCCAGGAAGCGAGCCGAGGCCAGGGCGATCGCCTCCGCGGGTTGTTCTCGGCGCATGGGGATGACGAGGCTGCTCAGGATCTGCGGGACGTGTACGGCTCCCACCAGGGGGATGTCACCCTTGGAGATGGCCAGGATACCGATATAGAAGCAGGCATCAATGCTGGCCGGATGGATGGGATAGAACGACTGTCCGTAGGTGGAGGGCGGGGGATCCATTGCCACAGTCGAGCGGCTTTCGGTCACGCCCATGGTGGCCTCGAAGAGAAGATGCTTCTGGAAGCAAGGACCGTAGTTGTAGCCAGACTCTCGAACCGCCTTGTAGATCATGCTGGCAGGCGTGGCGAGCTCCAAGGGCTTGAGAGAGCCGCTAGGGGCCGGCGTCTCCTTGTAGTCAGTCTCCACAGAGATCAAGCCGGCACAATGCTCAGTGTAGACCGTGTCCTTGGTCGAACAGACACGGAACTCAAACCAGTCGCGGATCGATCCTCCTCGCGCCGGTGTCAGGGTCAGCGTGTACGTAGCAGGCTCATCTTCCTCGAGCACCAAGGCGCGTAGGAAGCGGATGTCACGGAAGCGGAACTGGTACCGAGACGGCTCCTTTCCATCCCACTTCGTCACCATGGACACCTGGTACATGGCCTCCACCGCCATGGCACAGTAGCCCGCTCCCGGGAAGATGATCTGGTTTCCCATCATGTGGTCCCGCAGCCAGGGCATGTCACTGAGGCGGAGAGTCTTTTGGAAGATGGGAGACTGCCACGCGGTGCCGTTCATCTTCGATCCAAGGAGGTCGTGGTTGATGAACTTCTTGAAGCGCCAGTCGCGGCTGGCCTGCGTCTCGTGCCAGTACCGCTGGGAGTGATTCCACGAGTAGTTGGGCAGATCAACAATAACTGACGGCGTCCTCGACTCGTGAGTTCGGTTGACCTTCCTGAGATCAACCGTCCCGCCGAGGAGGAAGAGTTGGCCCGCGACGTTGTACAAGGACTGGATTGAATCTGGCCCACGCTTCAAAGCCGAGGTGTACAGCGCGTCGGCTGCCGCACCCGAAAGGGTCTTCTTGATCTGCGCGATGGGACCTGAGAGAGCGTTGCTTGGACCGATCTCGATCAGGAAATCGACTCCAGTTTGTGTGTCTCGGAGGAGCTCCTTGGCCGCCGTGGTGAAACGGACGGGGGAAACCATGTTGCTCTTCCAGTACGCGGCATCTGGCGCCTCGGTCAGGACCTGACCGGTGACAGAACTGAACATCCTAGCCGTCGGCTTGCTCTGAGATGTGTTGATGCTATCATTCAGCATCTTCTCGTAAACCTCTCCAATTGGCGCCATGTAGTCCGAGTGATACGCAGCATCGACCAGCAACAGCCTGGCAAAGTGGCCATCCTGCTTCATGCGTTCCTCGATAGACTTCAATGCTGCGGCAGCGCCAGAGAGAGTAAGACTGCTAGGACTGTTGTAGCAGGCAATCTGAACCTTGCTCTCTGGTTCGATGTACTTCTCGACCGTCTCGACATCGACACCAACAGCCAACATTCCCAGTGGCTCCTTGGGAGGGAACCTCTTGGTGGCTTGACCACGGTAATAGGCAATCTTGATGGCGTCGTCTGGTGTGATCAGGCCGGCAGCGGCGGCAGCAGCAATCTCCCCAGATGAGTGTCCTACCACGGCCTCGGGACTGATACCCCATTCCTTCACCACTTCGAGGATGGCCAATTGCAACGCTGTTACAAGAGGCTGGGAGTACTCTGGCTGTCGCAGGGCCGCAGAGCTTCTTTCCTCGGTCAGCTCAGCAAGCAAACTCCAGGATGGCGCATCAGGAAGCTTCTGGAGGACCTGGTCCAACTCCTCAATCACCTGCCTCGCCTGCGGGAAAGCCTTGACGAGACTGGATCCCATCTGCGGCCACTGCGCTCCCTGGCCGGTGAAGACGAACCCAACGCGCGGCTTCGAGGCAGCCTTCTGACCAAATTGAATCTTCCCTTGATCGATGCTGCTGCTGGAGTTTGTTGTCAGGAAGGCGCGGTAGTAGTGGTGGCTTCTGCGCTCTGAGAGCGTATACGCCAGGTCGTCAATGTCGACCGAAACTCCGGGGTTGATCAGGTGCCCCGAGAGCGCGCTGATGTAGCTCTTCAGCGACGACTGATCATTCGCAGACAAGACGAGTACCTTTGACGGGGCATCTTCTGCGACGATCACGTCTTCATCATCATCGTCATCACCAAAGAAGTCCGAGGTGATCTCCTTGTAGGAGGATACATGGGTCGCAAAGGGGGCGTTTTCCAAGATGGCGTGTGCATTTGAGCCACCGAAACCAAATGAGTTCACGCTTGCGCGGCGGACGTCCAAAGATGTCTCTGGCCACTTGATGGACATGCGCGTGGGACGAACACGCGAGCCCGCGAAATCGATGTTGGGGTTAGGGGTGACGAAGGTCGGGTTCCCGGGGATGATGCCATGCTCGAGCGCGAGTACGACTTTCATCAAACCCGACAAGCCTGCCGCGGCCTCAGAGTGGCCGATGTTGCTCTTAATGGATCCGATTACGAGGTCCTGGCCGACCTCGCGGGTGCCTGCGAAAACGGAGGCGGCACCCCTGACTTCAATCGGGTCTCCGGCAGGCGTGCCGGTACCGTGGCACTCTAGGTATTGTGTATCGTTGAAGTTCTTGATGCCAGCGTTGGCGTATGCCGCCCTGATGGCAGCCGACTGGGCCTCGGCGCTGGGACTGGCGATTCCAGGTGTTCGGCCGTCACTGTTGGTGGCGGTGCCGCGGATGACGGCGCGGATCGGGTCGCCGTCCCGCAGGGCATCGTCAAGACGCTTCAGGTAGACAACGTTCATGCCTTCTGCCTTGGCATAACCGTCTGCCTTGGCATCGAAGCTGTGGCATCGGCCGGTTGCTGACTGTGTCATGCGCATCATGCCGATCTCTTCGTTGTGCTCGGGAGTCAGCCAGAGACTGGCACCGGATACCAGCATGCCGTCTGCCTGGAGGGTGTCAAGGTAACGGCAGGCAACTTCCACGCCGACAAGACTGGCAGAGCATGCCGAGTCTACTGTCATACTATTACGAGAGTCAGCTGCCGGTATGCTTTGCTCAGAGGCACTCAGGCTGGTTGCCATCTCCAACTTACCTGGGGCCGTGGATGTTGAGGAAGTGACTGATCCGATTACTCAAAATGGACCAGGCGACACCTATCGTCGCGGACTCTGGACGGTTCTCGGGGTCACGACTCTGCATAGAGGCATAGTCTATCAAGTACGCAATGTCAGTAACATGTAACATCGGTTCGAACCAAGGCAAGGTATCATGAGGTAAGTCACTTACCCACGATGTTTGTGCCGACAAGGCATCCAACTCGTTTGCCACTGATTGCTTCAAGCGGGATACCCGCGTTCTCCAAGCACTCATACGCAACTTCGAGAAGAATACGTTGCTGCGGATCCATGGCTATGCAGTCAACACGGCTGATGTTGAAGAATTGCCCGTCAAAGACCTCCGGGTCGACGTCCTCCATGAACATGCCACCGGGACTCTTCATCGTTCTTGGCCTGCGGTGCTCGTCATGATGTCCGGACAAGCTGAATCGCGTGGCTGGAGGTTCGTTCTTTGCGATGCCGCCACGTTGGAGAAAGTCCCAGAGTAGGGTGGGTGAGTTGCTGTGGCCGGGGAGACGACAGGCCATGCCGACGACGGCAACGGGTGTTTGTGTATGGTTCCGCTGGGCGCCATCGTTGACCATGGCGTATGAGTTGCCGCTATCACTTGACCATGCAGGGGTCTGCTTGGTGTCTGATGAGATGCTCATGATGAAGTTGAGTGAGGGAAAAGTGAGTTTGTGATTAGTTGTTGGATGAAGAAGCGGCGGAGAGCGAACTGGGGGCTTGTCGGGTGGATCTGGTTTAGATAGTCTATCAAAAAGGCTTCGTGAAGAGCTATTGAGACTACAATTCTCATTCTGAGGCTCATCGATTCTATCTTACAAGACTGACTGCTCTCGATGGTTCAGGAGATGCAAATCGATTATCCTAGTATGTCGCTATTCAGTTCTGCCCGCGTATGCACGATTATTGGCAATCGATGATGCAATGTAAGCATGAGATGCAATGTAAGCAATTACAAGATAGAGTGACAGCCAGGCTGGTCGAGATTACATGTGAAGCGGAGACGTTCAATGATTATGAGATCAAGGAGCGTCCATGGGCATGAGACGCCACTCGACTGTGGTTATCCATGGAATCCAATTGGTGACGGTACGAATGACTTGCTCCTGCCTCTCACTTCAGGGCTCGCAGAAGCATCACTGCTTACCGATATGCCGGTTACGTATCATGCAGGCGTGGAACATGAGGGTTGTGTTGTTGTTGAGATGGAGATAATGAGACTGAAGAGACCTTGGCTCCCCTTCGTGTCAATACAGCCCTCGCGTGTGGTCATCTTAAGGATTCCTTCTATCTATAGGGAGTAGAAAGAATCCCAGAGAATCACTATCTGTCATATCCTTTTTTGGAAACTACACTTCAATTCTCGTGAACACTCAACCTTGCACCATGGCTGCTCGCGAAGACGTCGAGTTCAGAACCATTGATGGTCTCGTCCTTCGTGGCTGGCTCTACCCAGCAAAAGAGCGAGGAGCAGCCATTATTGCGACTCCCGGAGTACGTCCTCTCATCCCTTGGACGTTCAAAACTTGAAGACACAGAGCCCTAACCTCCCGTAGTTTAATTTCACCAAAGAGACAATGGTTGCGGAAGTCGCCGAGTACTTCCAGAAATTCGATTTCACCGTCCTCATCTACGATCCCCGCTCTATCGGGCTAAGTGACGGTACACCACGCAACGAAATTCATCCCTCGCGAAACGTCGAGGACTACCACGATGCCTTGACATTCCTCAAAGGCCACCCGCTGGTTGACCCGGCGCGCATCGCCTACTGGGGCTTCTCGTACAGCGGCATGCTGGCCCTCATCGCGGCTTCGCTGGACAAACGCGCAAAAGCCGTAGTGGCCATGTGCCCGCTGACGATCTGGGACTTCCCCCCTGAGAAGTGGCCTCGAGTGCTAGCAAAGGCGCTTCGTGATCGCGAGTCGCGCGCCGCAGGCAACAAGCCCGTTTACATCCCCATGCTTACGGCCGAGGGGGAGAACCCGGCGGGTTTCGGCAAGGGCTTCGACGTGAACGGCTTCAAGATGATGGCGGGGGCGAAAGAGCTGCAGCCAACCTTTGAGTTGGAGACGACGCTGGGCAGCTACTACCACATTGCTGCCTTTCAGCCGATGGGACTGATTCCTTACGTTTCTCCAACACCGGTTATGGTGGTCACACCGGAGCATGACGTGGTCTCGCCCGCAGAGCTTCAGCGGACCGAGATCTACGACCGGTTGAAGGAGCCTAAGCGCCACCTGGTAGTTCCGGACAGGGGGCACATGGATGTGCTGAGTGGCGACGACTTTGCAAGGGTGCTGGATGCGCAAGTTGCCTTCCTGCGTGAGGTTTTGGGAGCCTAAGCTGGATCATGTTTGTGTCTTTTGCTGTTCTAGAATCCTCTTGGCTGTTATCATGTGCGGCACACGAATGATTGATTACTATGTTATTATGGCACCCAATGGAATAATTTTGTTTGATCGCTTCCACGTTCCTGAAATCGACTTGGCATGCGTCCGCGGACTAGTTGACGCGTGCTTATCCTAGCTGCATGCTTACATGCAGGTAATCCGGCGCGGGGCGAAGCACCTTGTGTGTGGGAAGCTGGAGAAAGACATAATGGTCATCATTATCAATCGGCACGTTTATCAAAAGTCCTTCCGTGCCGTAGACTAGTGAGTCTCGGCTAGAGAAAGGACACCCTTCTTAGTTAAGGTAGTCGTACCAAGGAGTGGCTCTTTGCGTGCCTCAACAAATGCTTATCTGCACATAAGCAGGCAATAGGTGTGCCTATGGACCCTGATAACGAACACACCGAGCATCCCTTCGGAATCAGGATCCGGATGGCTCGGCGCTGGGGGCTGCTCGCGTCCAACACCTCTGGTATCTGGACTCTCCCTTCTGAAGTCATGCCATGAATCCTACGAGAATATTGATTTCTCGCGTGGACGCGAAGCGGCGCAAAGGACCCCATTCAATCTCAGCTTTCGTAAATAGAAAATCAGTGTGTAAGGGCCGTAGCAAGGCTCCTAGCTGTTAGCTTTCATATAAAGAGCTTGATGCAAACAACATGCAATTGCCTCGTAGGGCTTCTTGAGGCTACCTGTAACCCGGACCAGTCACCAATGAAACTCTGACTCGCTCTTCTTGGCTTGCAGAAACACCGAAACCATGAAGATCATTCTCCTCTTCCTCCTCGCTTCGACCGCTCTTGCAGCGACCTACCCGCGACCGTCTGCATGTCGTTACATTTCCGGGGACCCTGGTTGGCCCAGCTCCTCAGCTTGGAACCGTCTCAATGCAACCGTGGGAGGACGTCTCCTGGCCACGAACCCTCTCGCCCACTCGTGTCATGATCCTACCTACTCCGATGACACCTGCACCTCGTTGCGACAGCAGTGGGGACAGCCGAATTTGCAGATTCCTTACCCTGCCGAGTTCCTGTCGCCATGGTTCCAAAACCAGTCTTGCGTCCCGTTCACACCTCGGTCATCCGCTTGCGAGCTCGGAAACTATGCCAGTTACTCCATCAATGTGACGGGCCCCAGCGATATCATTTCTGGGCTGAAGTTCGCGCAGCAGAACAATGTGCGTCTTGTAATCAAGAACACCGGTCACGAGTATGTTCCCCTCCCTTTGATAGCTCTGATTATCTCCATACGTGGCACGCAGGTTATGTAGAGCTGACCATGCCTCGGTGAAACAACAGTCAGAATGGCAAAGGCACCGGCAAGGGAGCCCTTTCTCTATGGACACACAACCTGAAAGACAAGACGTTCATCCCCGCCTACAAGAGTAGCTACTACAAGGGACCAGCTGTGAAGCTCGGCGCCGGCGTCCAAGGCGGGGAGGCTGCCACCTTCGCGCACCAGAACGGGGGCTACCGCGTGGTTGCTGGCTCCTGTCCGACGGTCGGCTTGGTGGGCGGATACACACAGGGCGGCGGGCACTCATCTCTGTCGGGGATCTACGGTCTCGGGGCTGACAATGTACTCGAATGGGAGGTCATCACAGCCACAGGCCAGCGCCTCACCGCGACTCCAGAGAAGAACACTGATCTGTACTGGGCTCTCAGCGGCGGCGGGCCCGGCACGTACGGGGTCGTCGTGTCGATGACGACGAGGGTCTTCCCCGATGCCCCGACCGGCGCGGCCTCCTACTCCTTCAGCATCGCGTCCACGGGCAACACAGAAGACGCGTACTGGAACGCGGTGACAACATTTCATGCGCAGCTACCTCCTCTCCTTGACCAGGGCGTCTACGTGACATACTCCGTCACGAACAACACCTTCTACATCATTGCCATGATTGCGCCCAGTCACAACCAGACGGAGCTGAACACTCTAATGCAGCCGATGCTGACGGCGTTGTCTCAGCAGAACGGCCTCAGCGCCCAGTCGCTTGGTCTGAACACCTTTGGCACCAGCAATGTCTACGACATCCTCGCCACCAACGTGTGGCCCGTCCTCCAGGACGCTTCTCTCGTCGCTGCGCAGGGCGGCCGGCTCATCACCCGCGCGAACCTCAACGCCAACCTCACCGGCGTGATGTCCGCCATGCGCAGCATTACGACTGGCGGCACGTTCTATCTGGCGTGCACCGCCATCAACACCACCACCGCCCAAGGTGTGCCCCCTATCGCCAAGAACGCCGTCCTGCCCGCGTGGCGCGACACGTCGCTCAACTGCCTGGTCGGGACGGCCTGGGCCTGGGGTCAGTCGTGGGATCCTGTTCCTGGATGGCAGAAGGAGCTGCTCGATCGTGTGCTTCCGACCATTGAGGCCGTGACGCCGAACTCGGGGGCGTATCTCAACGAAGCCAACTTCGCTCAGCGAGATTGGCAAGGCCAGTTCTATGGGAAGAACTACCAGAAGCTGGTGGCGATTAAGAAGAAGTATGATCCCCAGGATTTGTTTTACGCAGTCTCCGCTGTGGGAAGCGAGGTGTGGGCTGCGGATGGAGAGGGAAGATTGTGTCGGACTTGATTAAGGGTGCTAGATTCTGATGGTAATACGTGAGGCCTGTATAATATGTAAACATCGTTATTGAAGCTGAACATCGTGCAATGGGGAGCAATTCATAGCAATTTATGTCAGTTGAGTTTCTTATTAGAAATTTGTTTTGGCACGATCAACTTCGGTGAGGTGCTTAATTGACGATGAGCTGTCAGACCTTCAAGTACTAGCCATCATCTTCGCGTTCAATATACTAGTGTTAAGAAACTTCATTCAGTCTGCCACAGGACATTTTGACCGTTAAGGGTTCGAAGTTTGCATCAATTTATACTGAGTAAAATGTGTATTCAAAACTAAACATCGCTTTCGCTATCTATCGTATTTTACACACGCTGTCTATCATCTTTCTAGGTGTTCTTGGACTCTTCGTCTTGTATATGGATCCATCATGTCTAACATCTTCTGGCCTCAACCTCTAGATCGGACCCGCTCCGAACCAACATGACAACCCCTGCCTCGAACCCCTCCGTCACGGCCAGATGCAACGGCGTGTTCCCGTCCGCGTCGTACGCATCCAAGAGACAGGCCAACCGAGCTTCCCCTGGCCCAATCGGATGTACCCCGTCGACAACCCCCTGTTCGATCTCCGCCAGCAACAGCCGCAACACCGGCTCTCTCCGGTGGAGCACGGCTAGGTGCAACACGGAGCGTTGCTTGTTATCGACGGCGTCGCAGCGGGCGCCGGCGGTCAGAAGCGCACGCACCACCGGCGCGTGGCCGGCAACCACGGCGTGCATCAAAGGCGTGCGGCCCTCGCTGTCCGGGGCGTTGCAGTCCATGCCATGATGGCTCAGCAGCATCTGGATTATGCGGTCATGGCCTTTTTGGGCTGCGATATGAAGAACGCCGAGGTACTCGTATGTGGAGGCGGGCTTCTGGGGAGTCGGAGGTATTGTTGGCGTAGTTGATGATGGAGAAAGATAACCTCTAGTTCCGTGAGGTACAATACTGTGATGGTTGTCGTTCGTCGCGCTGGGTGTCAATGAAGATGACGGCGAGAATTGTTCGAATGGGCTTTGCCGGGGGGTCGAGGTGGAACCGTGTGAGGGGGAACGAGAGGAGGGTGATGCTGAAGAGTACTGATATGATGGGGATATAATCTCGCTGGTACCAAGCCCTTGTGTTGTGGTTCGCGCTGCTGTCGATGTATTTGTGCTATTTTGAAGAAGATGTTCGATATTCAAGTCGTAGCTGAAGCTGTTCTCTTGGGACTTGATGACATCGAAATAGGAAGGAGTCGTCTCGCTCGGATCATGTTGTAGTTCGAAAGGTAATGGGATGGGCTCAGAGTTCAAGAACTGGTCACCACTGGCTGCCATGGTGGCACTCTGCTGCTGCTGCTGTTGTTGCTGCTGCTCGCGTCGTTCTTCACAAAGGGGATGGCAAACCCCAACCTAGTTAGTGATGCTGTGACGAATACTGCAAGTAGAGACACAGATAGACATACGGCGGAATCTGCGCTGCGCATTGCGGTTCTGCAGCCGACGGCGCTCGCTGATGGTTGTGGGAGATGGCAAGTTGAGTTGCATTGTGTTCCGGGCGGGAACGTCGTGGAACCGCATCATCCGAAGAGGCACCTGATTCCTGGCAGTGCGATCTTAAATTCAGTATACTTGGCCACCGAAAGGGTCGTCTTGGAATTCCACACGGTCTCCGGACAATTCAGTACGACAATAAAAGACTTGGCAGGCTGACGTGAGAACGATTGTGGGGGTTTTGGCTCGGGAGCACGGCAGCCCGTAAGGCTGAGTCTTCCTATCTCTCCAGAGCACTAAAACATGCTGTCTTGAAGACAGCTTTCGTGAATGCTCTTTGCCGCCACGCCTTCGGAGATAGAAGATGAAGAATCCAACGGGCCGCCGCGTAGCTAACAGGGAAGCCTTCCTGCCGCTTCATGGCGGGCTGGTGGCTGGCTGGCTGTTGCCTGGCGGGCACTATCAAGATAGATGATGTCTTGGCTGTTGGCCAGATGCAATAGGTCCACTAACGGTGTGTTCCTTCTGCAGGAAATTGGCGTAGCTGGCTTTCCTGTTGGAGGTCTCGGCCCTCTCCGGGATCCCAGGAGGAATCCCGTTCCGTGTCATCCACACCAGATGGAGGAATTTCTCCGTTTGGTCAGAGCTGCGCCGCAAACTGATTGCATTGAATCCTACAAGATTGCGTGCGAATGCTAACCGAACCAATGCAGCACGTGTATCTCTCTGTATCCGCTCCCTTGCATATCTGACATCGCCTTTCCTAAGCAAACGGTGCCCACTTCTCCTCGCTCCAAGCCCAGAGCCTCTCTCCATACCCCAGGCCTCCTTCCTCTTTGGTATCTCCTGCCTTTATTAAATCCTGTCGCGGCG